TTAGGAAGCGATTACTCCAGTATTGCTGAAAAGGAAAGAAAGAAAAGGCATCAGTTAATGAAAGGATGAATGCTAAGTATCATTATAAAAGCAAGACTAAGATCAACAGTGACAGAAGAAAGAATGTTAAGTTTGATAACTGATTGCTCTGTCATTGAAGGGACACTCTCAGGTTACTTTATTTTTGAAGCCTAGACCACTCTGGATTACGTCTCAGCTCTTCTGAACTCAGCAGAGCTCTCTTTTTAAGATCAGCAAAACCAGCATTTCCTACAGAAGGCCACACATGGAAAAAATATTAAGATAGGCTTAGATATTCGTTGCGTTTCTCTGCCTGCTTAGTGGCAATAGACAAGTCTCACTTATTTGTAATTTTACTTTCAAGTTCTCATACTACAAAGTTTGATCTAAAATTAAGAGCTTTAAGGGTTTTTTTTGTTTTTTTTTTTTAAATCAAGGCGTTATATTGTAAGTTTGGCCCTAAAGTGACCTAAAAATGTCCCCCTTTCCAAGTTATGCAGCTCATTCTGGGAAGCAGTAGGAAAGCTTTGAAGAAGTCATTAAACTACACAGATTAATGCATAGGCAAAGGGCAGAGTACAACATGATAAAATTATTACTGTAGCATAAGGTTAGCCTTGCGTTTAGGAGAGAAGAACAGTGTACTCTGATTCCCTAGAACTCAATGTTGGCTCTTCAAAACACTGCTTCAACAGTATAAAATTTAGGCTTTCCTGCTAAGATTTGAGAATGCGTAATATTAATGTAATTAAAGATGTAATTAGCAGAGATTAGGGAAACAATTAATGGTTAGAAGTGCAAAAAAGTAAACAAGACAGGTGCAAGAGACAGACAACTTTAGCAGTTTTACCTCCCTTCATCTCAGCAAATTGAACCATCTTTCCTGTTTACTGTTTATATTCTATGCATCAGCTGTGTTCTTGGAACAATGACAGAGGACTGCTGTACTGCATTTTATCATCAGATTACAAACTCATTTTCTTACCATTAACCTTCTCCAAAGGCCTCCCTACAAGCATTAGCCTTGCAGCATTTCGACAGAAGGGTATGTGGTGGTGGTGGCTTGGTGTGTGTGTTTTTTTTTTTTGGCAGCATCTTTCATACTTGGTTTCCCAAAGTATTATTTCAAATCAGTATGAACTACTTTTAGTGCCTGGGTGCTGGCAAAAAAAGAGCAGCTCATTGTATAGCTTGCAAATGTGAGCGATTCAAAGTACTGTTTGTGAGAAGAGAGGGCCTAGGGGCACTGTGAAGATAGAAGCCCTTGTCTAAATGTTTCGGACATATGACTGCAGTTGCCTGACCGTTTTCTTTGCTCTGATTTGGACCAGCCCACAGAACAGTTAGTTCAGGAAGACCTGCTATCATACCACCAACCCCCCCTGTTTTCCCAGCATAAGCTTTACAAAAGTTGTTTGTTACCCAGCTCACATGACTGATATCAATCTTACATACCCCTCTCTCACTAGAGAATAAGTAGCAAGAAGTTAGACTAGTAACTCACTGAAATGACAGCAAAAGGAAACAAAGTATGGAATTAACTTCTAAAAAGCAAGGTGTAGGAGATAAAAGAATCCAGGCAACTTTGAGTTGCTGCTACTTGAATAAGTGCTTGTGTGAGTATGGCCATAGAACTAACACATTAAAAGAGATTCCTCCGAGCGAATACTAGGTACGTATTCATTTCTCCCCCTAAGCAGCTGGAAGTTTCTCTTTGCAAGTTCAAGTCCCATTTCTACCTCCAGCTGACCCTGGTACTGTGAGGAGGCTGGAGAGAGAAGAGGTAGGGAACAGAAAAAGTACTCAGTGAGAGCTTCAACTCTGAGACTGGCAAATAAGTCTTCTAAAGAGATGACTCTTCAATTTAGGACTTCTCTAGAGGAAAGGACTGAGAGCTAAAAAGAGTGGCAGAATCTACACAATTAGAAGATAAGTATTTTAGTTAACACACACTTTTCTTACAGCGCCTCCCCAGCCTTGCACTCCATTTCTAGTCTGGCAGTTAAGCCCAGCCATCAGCTGCCATATGCTATTCCAGTGACAGAGGTACACTTGAGCAGACTCCCACAGACTACTCATCTGGAGAAAGGTTAAGGCCGGATCCTCAGCACCCCAGCTCCAGGATCACACAAAAGCTCACAGCAGACATCTATTTGAGGACAGGCTGCTTGACTGACCTGGGAAGCAGCTCCTGGTAGGTCTCAGTGTTTGGCCAGTCTAGACCACATCAAGTTGGCATATCATGTAGCAGCAACATTTGGAAAACAGAAGTACTTAAAGTATAGTGACAGATAAATAAGTGCTGATCACACAAGACACTATTGCTCCCATTCAGATAAAAATCCAGACAAGACAACTGGTAGAAAACCAAGGAAAAAACAGGGCAGGGAGGCAGATTAAGATGGCTATCCAACCTGATATATTGGACTCTTTTAGGAGCCTTCTATAAAAACTAGACTCCTGAAGCTACAGAAATGGTCAGTAAGGGAGGAATACCCCTCCATTTACCCACCAGTCATCTAGCTTTAAAACTCCAAGAAACAGAAGGCCCTAATGCAGTGCCCTAGGACATCTTACGAGCAAGCTCTCAAGTGTCAATATTTAAATTCGTGTCACTTAAAACAGCAAGATGTGTCTTCAACAGGTAGATCTGAGCACGCTGGACAGAGAGCCTACAAGTTGTTAAAAGATTATTCTATTTACCACAGTAATTTACCCCTGCAGGCTCTTAGAGGCAGGGAAAAAGGGCATGTACAGGAGGATTATTTGATATAACAGAAAGGACTGTACAAAAAGCAGAATAGTTCAGCAACCTTCAGCTAACATGTCTTAGAAAAGGCGAACTGACACGGTGCTCTAACAATTTAGAGCACCGGTTACATGTACACCTCTAAGATTGAGGGGCTGTCCCTACCCCGGGAAGGGTTTGGCCACAAAGTTGGGAGCACATAGAACTACCTTCCTAATATTTGTTTCCAACAAATAATAATGCACTTGTATTCATTTTGCTCTCAGGGCATCTTAAATCACGTGACATACTAGTTTCCTATTTCAAGAAACAAGGACAGTCTCATACTGCTTATTTAATATTGATACAGCATCTGTCTGCTGCAGGCCATCGGTTTTACGGTGTACAAAACATCCAATTTAGCAAAGACAGGTTACTTCCATGCTAAATAGGGCATTCAACAGGAACTAAATGCTTACAGTTCTGCCACACACCTACCACACACATCATTACGTCCAGCTACTGTACCCGAGTCACTTCAGCATCAATTGAAACAGGTTAACTAAATGCCAACATTGCCGATGTAACATCTGTATCGTTATTATTCCCCACATAGGGGAATTTCAAATAGGCTTTGTATATTTTGAGGTTAGCACCTATATTTGAAAGCTTGAAACCTAGAGAATTATCTGTGCTCGCTGGATTCCAGCTGGCATGAACAGAACATACCTCTTAACTATCATTTTCCTCTATGAGGGATCAAAAAGCTGTTTGATTCTGGTTATTAAAAGCAATTTTAGAGCCAACACAAGATAACACAGCACCTGCTACTCTACAAAGACATACTGACCCCAGCACAATTTTCAAAGACTACCCTGTTAAGCCAAGCCTGTTCTTTTGTGTTTTCATATGACCACTGTATAGTTTCCATTCACTGCAACCAGTAAATTGCTTTGCACAAAGGAGCACCTGCATTTTGAGCAGCACAGATACCAGAACACATCAGAGAAAGGCAGTCTGCTCAGAGGGGCATCCCGTCAAAGCAGGGAAAAAAAAAAGTCAGAATAAACTAACTCCTGACCACCAGTATCAAGAGCGTTTTAGATACCACACACTCATATGAGCAGCTGTCACTGTCTTAAGTTACATATTTGTCCAATTTTATCTCAAACTTAAGACCAAAAGCTGTGAGATCTTGGGGCACTAAGGCTGAGTGCTGTAAAGTGAGACCTAAAATACTCTATGATAAAAGCAAGTGCTTTACCTTCAGAATCAGTAATTTGATCTTCACATCACAAAACAGAGTCTAAAGTGGTGATAATAATGTAGCACAGCAGAGTTGGACGAAACACAGCATGGGAATGAAGGAAATTACTATTTATTCTTTGACACGTATACAGCATATGCTATTTTACAGCAAGTCACCACTGGCATGGTGAAATGGAAGAGAAATACTCACTTTAGTCGATGAAAGTTGGAAGGCATTGGAGAAAAACACCACAGTTAGGACTGTTAATGACTTACACGTTGTTGATACAGGACTGAATTTGAAAACATGCTTTAACATTTATCATAATAATGAAGGTGGTTAGTGCCACATTAAAATAAAAATAGTTCTATACAATATGTTCAATTTGGTCATGTGCTATTTACAGATTTTACAAAAAACACACGAGCTTGTTACTTCAAGTCAGGCTAACAACAGGCCAGCAGAGTAACTCCTTGTATACAACTGATTATTAGTGCCTTAAGTGTAGGAAATCCAATTTCTAGCTATGCAGTGCAAGTTATTTGTCCAGGTCTGATTACGAAAGTGTCGATCTTGGGGGGGGGG